TCTTCCAGTAGGTCGTCCAGAAAGACATCCAGTCTAATTAGCATATTATGCTCTTATTATCATAGACTAGAGGCCTGGTGGACGTATTTGTGCACCAGTGGCGTCCCTCAGTCTAGCCTGCAGGGATCGGACCAAAACCAGTAGACCGACATCCCCCAAGGTGTCCCAAATTGTGAGAGGGTGCAGGCCAGGCCGGTGCACAAATCCGTGCACTGGGCCTATATTACAATATGAAAATGACGTAGAGTAGAACTGTGTGCCTGAAACCTGTATGATTTTATTAACCAATGCCACCCCCAATACATTACATTTTAAAAAACGTAATTTTTAAAAAAATATATTTTATTGATTTACAGAGAGGAATTGAGAGGGACAGAGAGTTATAAACATCGATGAGAGAGAAACATTGACCAGCTGCCTCTTGGACACCCCCTACCGGGGATGTGCCCGCAACCAAGGTACATGCCCTTGACCGGAATCGAACCCGGGACCTTTCAGTCCACAGGCCAACACTCTATCCACTGAGCCAAACCGGTCCCGCTTTTTTTTTTTTTTTTTTTAAAGAGAAAACACAGCCGAGACCGGTTTGGCTCAATGGATAGAGTGTCGGCTTGGGGACTGAAGGGCCCCGGGTTCGATTCCGGTCAAGGGCATGTACCTTGGTTGCGGGCATATCCCCAGTAGGGGGTGTGCAAGAGGCAGCTTATCAATGACTCTCTCTCTCATCGATGTTTCTAACTCTCTATCTCTCTCCCTTCCTCTCTGTACAAAATCAATAAAATATATATTTTTTTAAAAATTAAAGAGAAAGCACAAATTCTTTCTGTAGATGGCTACATGAACAGGAGCGAGATGCGCCATTTTGCTCTTCCAGGGGCCTAGCATCTGGAAGGGAGCCAAGTATTCCCTCTACAGGTGTTCCTTAGGTCCACTCTAAACAATACTAAGTACTACTCTTTTTAAATTTAATTTAATATTTTACAGAGAGGAAGGGAGAGGGATAGAGAGTTAGAAACATCAATGAGAGAGAAACATCGATCAGCTGCCTCCTGCACCAACCCCCCACTGGGGATGTGTCCCCAACCAAGGTACATAGCCTTGACTGGAATCGAACCTGGGACCTTTCAGTCCACAGGTTCATGCTTCCACACCCGAGCAGCTGCAGGGCACAGTCCTGGTGGCCCAGGGCTTCACACAGCGCCACCATGCCATCGCGGTCCAGGCTGTTCCATTCCAAGTTGAGGCCCCGCAGGGACTTGCAGGCGGTGAGGGCCGAGGCCAGGTCCTCGCAGCAGGCAGCGGTGAGCTCACACAGCTCCAGCCTGCCACAGAGAAGCACACCAGGGGGACCGCCCCGCTCTGGCTGGGCTGGGATGCGCACTATCACGAAACACCCCTTCCACGCATCTGAGCAGGAGACTTGGTGGTCTCAACCCGTGGTTCTCAACGGGGGCCCTTGTGTCCCTGGGGGACACATGGCAATGTCAGGAGACATTCAACACACCAGGGGATGCTACTGGCAACTGGTGGGTAGAAAGAAGCCAGGCCCTGACCGGTGTGGCTCAGTGGATTGAGCATCGGCCTGCGGACTGAAGGGTCCCAGGTTCGGTTCTGGTCAAGGGCATGGTTGCAGGTACATCCCCAGTGGGGGGCGGTGCAGGAGGGAGCTGGTCAATGTTTCTAACTCTCTGGCCCTCTCCCTTCCTCTCAGTAAAAAAAAAAAAAAAAAAAAAAAAAAAAAAAAAATATATATATATATATATATATATATATATATATATATATATATATATATATATTTTTTTTTTTTTTTTTTTAAGGAAGAAGCCAGGGCCGCAGCCTAACATCCTACAGTGCACAGGACAGTCCCCTCTCCCCGTTACAACACAGAGCGATCTAGCCCCAAACGTCACCACGCAGAGCCCAGACCGGGAACCCCTGGTCTCCCAGGACAGCATTGTACTTGGTTCCGGACCCTTCCTGCTGGAAATCCCCAGCTCTTCCTCTTCTTGAAATGGGAAGCTTACCCACAAAGACCATCAGCACACACTCACCCGAGATTCTCCAGTTTACAGTTAGGGTGCCTCAACGCCCCACATAACTGTCTGACACCAGCATCTTGTATTTTGTTGTCCCCTAGCTTCAGAGTCCTCAGGTTCCCCTTGCTGATAAGAACCCCAGAGAGGTCCTCACAGCAGCCAGGAGTGAGGTAACAGCCCACCAACCTGTGGGGGTGGGGGTGGGAGGGGAGAGACACACACAGACACAATCAGGAGTCCAGTCTCAATCACCTCAGCTGCTTTCACTTCCTGCTATGAAGGATGAAATGCCCGAGTGCTTCTGAGATGATGATGGTAATGGCGATGACAGTGATGATACAGGAGATGGTGATGGCGGTGACATGATGGTACAGGAGATGGTGATTTGGAAGTGGTGATGGTGATGCTGCAGATGTGGTGGTGGTGATGGTGATGGTGATGGTGGTGATGGTGATGCTGCAGATGTGGTGGTGGTGATGGTGATGGTGATGGTGGTGATGGTGATGGTGATGGTGGTGATGATGGTGATGGTGGTGATAGTGATGGTGGTGGTGGTGATGATGACGGTGAGAACAACTATTATAAGATCTAGTCTCTTGCCCCAGCTCGAGTGATAAGGGTGAAGGGATTAAGCAAAGAAAAGAGATGGACACGGACAACAGTGTGGTGAGTGAGAAGGGTGAGGGGATTAAGCATGACCGCCATAAGCTGGAGTCGATATGGAGATGATGGTGGAGGCAGTGATGAAGGTGGTGGTAATGATAACAGCGATAATGATGGTGATGAGGATGATGGTGATGATGATGGTGATTTAGTGATAATGGGGGTGGTGATGATCACACTAGTGATGATGCTGGAGATGATTATGGTAGTGATGATAACGGTCATGGTGGTCGTGGTGATGGTGATGATGGAGGTCGTGATTGTGGTGACGATAAAGATCCTACAACTTCTCAGTTCCACCTCATCAGCCCAGTTACTCTGGGCTCCCTCGCTCGGCCACAAAGGTTCCGCCTCCCTACTGCCCACCTTTGCCCACTAAAGGCCCTGCTCTCAGTGCTCTCACTGGTGGGAATGCTTTGGGCTCCAATCCCAGCAGGGCTACTCTCTCACCCTCTACATCTCTCCACCGATGTCACCTGTTAGTGAGGACCGCCCTGAATATGTACATAGTATCATGTCCCAGTCTCCTCTCTACATGCTTCCCTAAGGTACTCATCATCCACTAACACACATGTGAGCCTGTATATACATGCACACATACACATGTGCATGACTCTGACATGTATACATGCATGTGAGTGTCTGTGGGCATGCTTATATAGGCACACATACGTCGTATGTGTAACATGTCTGGAACGTGTATGTGTATGTGTGTATTGGTGTGGGTATGCTTTGTGGTTCTCAAACAGAGATTTTTTTGCTCATGCCCCTCCCAGGGCCCACACACAGACATGTCCCTCCCGTTGCTCAGGGGGCACAGAGGGAGCTCCCAGTGGAAAGGGACCAGCTCAGGTGCTCCCATTCCTAGTGGTACTTCGGGCAGACTCACCGCGCCTGACCCCCGCTTACCAATCAATCCCTGTCACAGCGACCCGGCGGTGCCTGTTGGGGATGGGAGGGGAGTAGGGGGCGGGCTTCTGTGCTTCTCGCGCCCCCACTCCCGCCCTCCGTGTCCCCCTTCCTCCCCCGGCAGGGCGCTGGGCAAAGGCGGGCAGTAGGGCGGCGGAACCTTTGTGGCCGAGCGCGCGTTTCCAGCCGGCGCCGTTTCCCAGGGCCGCCGCCGCTCCCCGCGCCCCCACGCCCGCGCCCCCTGCGCTCGCGTCGCCGGCGCCGGCGGCCCGGAACTCCCGGAAGTCTTGGTTCTGTCGCCGCCGGCGCTCGCGAGGGGGGGAACCCGGGCCTCCGGGGACCTCGGCCTGCTCCTCCGGACCCGAGAGGCCGCCGCACCGGGTACGGGGGCCGGGGCGGAGGGAGGAGCCCGTTCCGGCCCGGGGCCCGCGCAAAGCCGGGCGGGGCGGGAAGGGGGCCGGCGCTCCCGGTGGGGGTGGGGCGGGGCGTCGGACGGAGCCGGGGTGGGGGTGGGGGGTGGGGACGGAGGCGCCGGCCGAAGGGAAAGGGCGCGGGGACCCCGGAATGCACCGAGGAAGTGGGGGTGGCGGGGGGGGGGCCCTGCTGGGTATAGCGGGGCGAGGGGCGGAGACCTGAAGACAGATGCCCGCTTCCCACCGGAAGGAGGGCGCGGGGGCTGGGCGGAGTAGTTTCGGAAGGGGACTCCCGAGCCCGGGGTGCTGACCGGGACGGGGAGGGGCACGTGTGCGGGGCCCGCGGGGGGCGGGGGGCGGGGGGCGGGCGGATGCAGGGGCCGCTGGTCCAGGGGGCGCCGCCGGGAAGGGCCGCCGCTGGGCAGGGAGGGGGGCGCGGCGGGGGCGCCCAGGCCGAGGTGCTGCGCGGGGAGCGGGTGTAGGAGCCGCGGGGAAAGTGGGGAACTAGGTCAGTGGGGCTCGGGGGGGTGTAGCTGGAGAGGAAGGTGAGACACGGGTGTCCCTGGGGATAGGAGGGTGTTCAGCGCACCTGGCGGGATGGAGAGCCGGGGGCCCTGCCGCGGGTCCGGGGCGGGGGGATGGCTGGGAGGAAGAGGGAGCGAGCGCCCTGCACCCCAATCCCGAAGGCCCGGGCCTGGGATGAAAGGAGCCCCGAAGTAAAGAGGGGACTAGCCGTGGCCGGAGTCGGGCCGCTGTGAGTAGGGAGGGGCGGGACTGGCCCTCTGTGGGGTCCGGGGTTAGAGGGGGCCCCCGCAGGAACAGGTGGGGGACCTGGGTGGCACCGAGCGAGCTGGCTGCAGGCAGTGTCTGTTGCGGGGAGGTGAGTCGGGGTGCAGGGGTGCAGCAGCGAGAGGGGCCCGCGTCCTCCGGGAGGCTAATTTCTCCCCCTTTCCGTCGCCCCCAGTTGTCGCTCCAGATGCTGCTGCTGCCCCCGCGGCCGCCCCACCCTCGCTCCTCCTCGCCGGAGGCCATGGACCCGCCGTCCCCCAAGGCAGACAGCCCTCCCTCCACTCCTCCCGCGGTGGCGGCGCCCCTGCCGCCCACGCCCGCCCACCTGCTCATCGACGCCAACGGGGTCCCCTACACGTACACGGCGCCGCCGGAGGAGCCGCCGCCGAGCCCGCCCCCCCGCGAGCCGTCTCCGGTGGAGCCCCCGCCCCGCAAGGGCTACAACTGCCCGGAGTGCGGCCGCGTCTTCGCCAGCCCGCTGCGGCTGCAGAGCCACCGCGTGTCGCACTCGGACCTCAAGCCCTTCACGTGCGCCGCCTGCGGCAAGGCCTTCAAGCGCTCCAGCCACCTGTCCCGGCACCGCGCCACGCACCGCGCCCGCGCCGGCCCGCCGCACACCTGCCCGCTCTGCCCGCGCCGCTTCCAGGACGCCGCGGAGCTGGCGCAGCACATGAGCCTCCACTGAGCCCGGCCCGGCGCTGGGCCTCGGCGTCCGCGCGCACACACACACTCCCTGGCGCTGCTGAGGCTAGTGCCTTACCCCGGGCCTCAGTGTCCCCCTCTGCCCCGAGGGAGAGCCGTCATTCCTTCCTCCATCCCCCCTCCCGATCCCCCCCACCCTCCCTGACTGTGTGATGTGAGACCAGGCGCTGCCCGCCCTGGGCCCGGTGCCCGCCCCGCCGCCCGGGAGCCTTTGCCGGGGACTTGCTCTCTCCGAGCCCCGGTGTTCTGCTCCCGAGCGGGGAGCCGTGGTCCCGGACGCGTGGAGGCTTGACCGGAGCACACGCGCGGCCCCTGATGTGTCTGCCCTCCCGCCCCGCCCCCCGTTCTCAATAAACATTCCGCACCGCGCCGTCGAGTCCTCTTTTGCGTCCGGGGCGCGCGGCGGCCGGGCCGCAGGCGCCTGGGAACCTTTCTGTGGGCGCGTGTTTCTGGCCGGAGCACTTTCCCGGGGGCCCCAGCGCCCCGCTCCCCTCCCTCCCCTGGACCCTCTTCTCTGTCCCCCGGTCCGCGGTCCCCTTAGCGGCGTCTCCAGCCCCTGGGGGACCCGCTGAGCTCCCCCCGCACCCCCCGTCCCGCCGCCGCGGGGTAGCCCGGGCCCGTTCCGTACCGCCCGGACTGGAGAGGCTGCTGCACCGGGTACGGGGGCCGGGAGGCGGCGGGCGCGCGCGAAGGGGCGGGGCGGCTGCTCCGGGGGCTCTGCCCGCACCCGGCGGAGAGGCCGCTGCGGGGCGTGGGGCGGCGGGCGCGGGTGGGCGCCGGGACTAGGAGGATTCGGGGGGACGGGCGAGCCCGGCGGGAGCGGCCCGAGGGGTGCGGGGAGGTGGCCACGCGGCGGCCGGCCCCGAGGTGGCACCTCGGAGAAGGGTGGGTGTGCAGGGGGGCAGGCGGGCTCCTGGGTGGCGTGGCCCAGCGGGATCGGGGGCGGCAGAGGAGGGACCAGGAGGCCGGGAGATCTGATGGGTGGGGAGGCAGCCGAGAGGCGCACCCGGTGGCCTGGGGAGGTCAGAGGGGGAGGCAGCAGGTCCTGGTGTGGCCGTGGGTGGCGGACCGGCCATAGCAGGGGCTTCTCAGGGAGGGGAGGCCGTGGGAGCCTTCCAGAGGCCGGGGCGCAGGGACTGGAGGAGATGGAGGATGCAGGCGTCCGGGCAGGGTCCCCAGAGGGGAGAGGATGGAGCCCGGGCCCAGCTTCCCTCCTCCGTATAACGGCCCCTCTCTCCCATCCGCCAGGCCTCAGCCGCCCTCCGGATGCTGGTGCTGCCGCCCCCCTGCCCTCGGCCCCCGGCGCTGCCCTCGGCTGCGGCCATGGAGGACCCGCCCCCGGGGGCAGGCCGGTCCCCGGAGCCCGGACCTTCCTCCTCCACGGGATCCCCCCAGCCCTCGTCCCCTCCGAGGCCCAGCCGCTACCTGCTCATTGACACCCAGGGCGTCCCGTACACCGCGCTGGTGGAGGAGGAGGAGGAGGAGGCGCCGAGGCAGCCCGGGCCCGCAGGGACTTCCGCTCCGAAAAAGGGCTACAGCTGCCCCGTGTGCTCCCGCGTGTTCGAGTACATGTCCTACCTGCAGCGACACAGCATCACGCACTCGCAGGTGAAGCCCTTCGAGTGTGACACCTGCGGGAAGGCGTTCAAGAGGGCCAGCCACCTGGCGCGCCACCACTCCATCCACCGGGCCGGCGGGGGGCGGCCCCACGGCTGCCCGCTCTGCCCGCGCCGCTTCCGGGAGGCGGGCGAGCTGGCCCAGCACAGCCGGGTCCACTCTGGGGAGCGCCCGTTCCCGTGCCCGCACTGCCCGCGCCGGTTTATGGACCAGAACACGCTGCAGAAGCACACCCGGTGGAAGCACCCGTGAGCCGGGCCGGGCTGCAGGGCACCCCCTGGTACCTCGGCATCTGGGGGAGCCTGGACCCCTGGGGTCCTCAGACACCCAGAGGGCCCCCGAGGCTGGACGCAAACACAGACCCGCCTGCTGCGGAGGCCAAGGGGCTCCGGAGCGGCCGAGGGTCCCTGTGTTTTGGAGAGAAGACGGGAATGAGACCTCAGTCCTCAGAATTGGAGCCTCCAGCCTCAGTGGCATCGGCTGTGCCAGGCTGGGCCCTGGCAGGGGCCGTGGGGGAGGCCGCTGGGCGCGGACCTTCCCCGGCCTGCAGATGTGGCTGGGGGCCATCCCGAACCCACTCCATCTTGCTGAGGCCTCCGTGCGGGTATTGGGGGCGGGGCTCCAGACCTTCTCTTCCCTCCCCTCCCCCCGCAGCCTCCCAGACAGGACCTGAGAGTAGACACCCAATAAACCCGTTTTCTACTTTGTGCACTAGAGGCTTCTTTAAAAAAAAAAAATTATTTTAGAGAGAAAGAGAAAGGGGGAGAGAGGAGGGAAAGAGAGATGAGAATCATTGATTAGCTGCCTCTTGCACGCCCCCTACTGGTGACTGAGCCCACAACCTAGGCATGTGCCCTTGGCGGGTATAGAACCTGGGACCCTTCAGTCTGCAGGCCCATGCTCTATCTACTGAGCCACACCAGCCAGGGCCAGACCCAGGCTTGTCCAATCCGCTGCCTGGCAGGGAGACTCGGCAAGTGCTTGGCCCCGTGGGGCTTTGGCTTGCCTGGCTGGGGAATGGGTTCGTCTGTGCTTGGCCCCAAAGGACCTGTGTCATAGGCATTTTTTTTTTTTTTTTTTAAGATTTTCACGTGTTCCTTTTTTTTAAAAATATATGTTGTTGATATTTTACAGAGAGGAGGAAGGGAGAGAGATAGAGAGCTAGAAACATCAATGAGAGAGAGACATCAACCAGCTGCCTCTTGCACACCCCCTACCGGGGATGTGCCCACAACCAACGTACATGCCCTTGATCGGAATCGAACCTGGGACCTTTCAGTCCGCAGACCGACCGACGCTCCACCACTGAGCCAAACCGGTTTCGGCTGTTTTGTTTTTTAATAATATAATTTTTAAAATTGATTTCAGAGAGGAAGAGAGAGAGGAACATCAATGATGAGAATCGTGATTGGCTGCCTCCTGCACGCCCCACACTGGGGATAGAGCCCGTAACCCAGGCCTGTGCCCTTGACCGGAATCCTTCAGTCTGCAGGCTGACGCTCTATCCACTGAGCCAAACCAGTGAGGGCAATTGTTTTTATTTTTTAAAAATATTTTTATTGATTTCAGAGAGGAAGGGAGGAGAGGGAGAGAGAAGCATCAATGATGAGAATCATGGATCTGCTGCCTCCTGCACACCCCGCACTGGGGATCGAACTGGGACCTCCAGGTTCAGAGGTCGATGCTCAGCCACTGAGCCACACAGGCCAGGCCTATGACTTCTTTCAAAAATATTTTAAACTGATTTTGAGAGAGAGAGGAAGGGAGAGGAAGAGGGAATGAACCATCAATGTGAGGGTACGGCATCAGTGGCTGCCTCCTGCGCTCCCTGGCGGTGGCCAAGCCTGAAACCCCAGCCCCTGGGCCCTGACTGGAAACCGAAGCGGCAGCCTTTCCATGATGGGAAGATGCCCAGTCAACTGTCCTCCTGCCAGTCGGGGCTCAGGTGTGACTTGATAATGGCTGATCCAACCTACGATCTTGAATTCTCCGCCCATGGGCTGTGGTGTGAAAAGCATTCATCCAGGGCAGATACCTCCCTTGGACTTAAAAAAAAAAAAAAAAAAAAAAAAAAAAATCCTGCCCTGGCTGGTGTGGCTCAGTGGATAGAGCACTGGCCTGGCATGTACTTTGCAGGCTCCTCCCCAGCTGGGCCCTGCTCAGGGCTCGTGCAGGAGGCAACCTATCCATGTGTTTCTCTCACATCCATGTTTCTTTCCCTCTCTCTCCCACTCTTTCTAAAAACCAATGGAAAAACATCCTCGAGTGAGATATTTTTAAACAAATAAATCTCCTCACCCGAACATATGTTTCTCATTGATTCCGGAGAGCGCATCTGTTCCCTCCCGTGAATGCCCCACCAGGGATCAAAACCTGAGCATGTGCCTGGCGGGGGGGACGGAAGTTCAGACCCTGCCCCGCAGGGGAGGGCGCTCTAACCAGCCGGCCACACGGCCAGGGTGCTGGGGGGCTCTAGTGAACCTGCACTTGTTTGTACCGGGAAGCGGGCAGGAGCCGGGCACAGCCATCCAGTCCTCCCCACGCAGGGCTCCCGCTGCGCTCCCGGGAGGGCTGGCACCGCTCCCAGGGCGCGGAGGCTCCGGCGAACGGGGGTGTGGGGGGTGGGGTGGAGAGGCGGGCGGAGCTGCAGCGGCGCGGGATGAGCGCCGGCTTCTCCAGGAACCTTTCTGGGCCTCTGCTCGGTGCCGGGTCGCTTCTCCGCACCCCGTTTTGAGCGGAAGAACAAACAAGCCGGCCCCCGAGGGAGAGAAACCTCCCGCGGCATCCGCGGATAACGGTGCCCGACCTTCATCTCCAGCCCCGACCGTGCCGCGCGCGGGGCGGGGCGCCTGCGTGTGACGTCACTGCACCCGCCCCACTTTACAGGTGAGTAAACTGAGCCGGAGCAGCGGCGGCCGGGACCCAGGTCTGCACGCGCCGGAGCCGGTCCTCACCCACGGGGCTGGGCGGGGGTTCCAGGCCCCTATTTGCAGGGAGGGGCACTCCCTCCTCCAGGATCCTGGGGGGCCGTGAGCCTCAGCGGATCGCTTAGGGGGACCCCCTCCCCGGCCCCTAACTTTCCTGACTGTCCCCCACCCGACTGGGCGCGCGGCCACCACCCGGGGGCCCCGGAGCCAGCGGCTCTGCAGGAATCGGGAATTTCACGACGTTCCCTGCCCGCGCCTGGCGGAGGGCGGGGGCGGGGGCTGCGAGGGGCCGTCGCGCAAGTGCCGCCCGGGTCTCCGCCGCATCGGGCGGTGCTCACCTGGGGCCGGGGCTGCCGCGCCGACCGGCGGCTGCGGGGCGCGTCCCGCCCGCCTCGCCGCCCCCGCCGGAGGGTGGGCGCTCCCCCCCGCCGGGCATGGGCGCCGCCGCCGCGCTGGGCTCCCCGGCCGGATTCCGCGCGCGCGGGGTGGGTGAGCGCGGGGCCCGGGCACTGCGGGGGGGACCCCGCGTTGGGACCTCTGGCCACCTCCGTCCTCCGTCCTCCGCCCGCCCGCGGGACAAAGGGCGGGGGCGCATCCCCGCGCGTGACCTTCCCCCGCACTGCGCACGCGCCCAGCCTCCCACCGCCACGGGGAAGGGCATGCTGGCGGCCGCGAGCGCGGGGGAGGCGCGTGGGCTGGACCCCCACCCCAGGCCTGGAAGTTGGGGTCGTCTCCCCACGCACCTGTGGGCCGCCGGGGAGGCCCCTCCTGGCCAGGATGTCCCCGCCCCCACGGCCCCGCGCTCCTGCCCCGGTACCCTGGGACCCCGGAGTCCTCCCTCAGCAGCCCTGGGTCCCCCCCTCCATCAGACCCGGGAGCCAGCCCACCTCCTGGGGTGTCCGCTCTTTCCGTCCAGGGTCCCTGAGGTGCTCGGCGGCCCGGGTCCGCGGGAGGCCGCGCCATGAACGACCGGAGCAGCCGGAGGAGGACGCGTGAGGACGCTGGGCCCTGCCCCACCCGCCCTCTCCTCCTGGGACCGGGGGAAGGAAGGGGGGCTCTTCCCTGGGCCGACCTCCCTTCTCTCCTCTCCAGTGAAGAGGGACGATGAGGCCTTCGAGATCTCCATCCCCCTGGAGGAGGCGCCCCACCTGGACCCCCAGCTATTCTACAGCCTGAGCCCCTCTCGGGGGAGCTTCGAGGGTGAGCTGGGGGAGGGGGGCAGGAGGCACTGCAGTGAGGGGGGGAGGGGGGCGTGACCAGGGTCCCCGCTCTCCGCCCTAGAGCCCCCCGAGGCCGCGTCGCCCACCGCGGCCCTGATGAGCGGCGTCAGGGCGCAGCTGCACATGGCCCTGGAGCGGAACTCGTGGCTGCAGAAGCGCATCGAGGACCTGGAGGAGGAGAGGGACTTCCTGCGCTGCCAGCTGGACAAGTTCATCTCTTCCGCGCGCATGGACGCAGGTGAGGGCGCCCGGCGGGGGGCAGTGCCCTCCCCACCCTCTGGGCCCAGGCCCGCGCCCCCCCCCCCCTCCCACCCTTCTCGCCCACACACTCATGCTCTGGTGGCCAGTGGACCCGGCCTCTCTGCCTTGGGGACCACAGCTTCCTTCCTGCTTCTGGCCGCCCCTTCCCCCAGGTGGTCCGGGCTTTCCTTTGCCAAATCTTTTCATCATCTAAAATAGGTTTATTGATTTCAGAGAGAGGGGGAGGGAGGGAGGGAGGGAGAGAGAGAGAGAGAAACGTTAACCATGAGAGAGAATCACTGATCGGCTGCCTCCTGCACGCCCCACTGGGGATTGAACCTGAAACCCAGGTATGTGTCCTGATCCGGATCAAACAGAAACCTCCTGGTTCTTAGGTCAACGCTCAGCTATTGTTTTTATTTTCATATGTATACTTTTTATTGATTTATTACAGAGAGGGAGAGGGATAGAGAGAAACATTGATCAGCTGCCTCCTGCACACCCCCTACTGGGGATGTGCCCTCAACCAAGGTACATGCCCTTGGCCAGAATTGAACCTGGGACCCTTCAGTCTGCAGGCCAACACTCTATCCACTGAGCCAAACCAGGTCCCCCTCCCCCTCCCCCACCTTTTTAAAAAAATATATATATTTTATTGACTTTTTTTTACAGAGGAAGGGAGGGATCGAGAGCTAGAAACATCGATGAGAGAGAAACATCCATCAGCTGCCTCCTGCACTCCCCCCACCGGGGATGTGCCCGCAACCAAGGTACATGCCCTTGGCCGGAATCAAACTTGGGACCCTTCAGTCCGCAGGCAGACACTCTATCCACTGAACCACACCGGTCAGGGGTCCCCCAGACCTCTCCCCACCAAGTTTAGGAGTCGGCTGAGCATCCTCAACCAAGCCCCACCCACAACCCCTGTCCCCAAAGCCCAGCTGACCGTCCTGCAGCCAGCCACCTGGGCAGGGACCTGTGTGATGTGACGGCCGCCTCCCTCCTGTTCCTGAAGGTCACGTGCGCCTGTCCCCCCACCTCTCCCCAGAGGACCACTGCCGGGTGAAGCCGGGGCCCAGGCGGGCTGAGGGCGACGGCCGGGCCGGGGCAGCGGGCGAGGCCTCGGACCCGGAGTCCGCCGCCTCCTCGCTCAGCGGGGCGTCGGAGGAAGGCAGCAACCCGGAGCGGCGGCGGCAGAAGCAGAAGGGAGGCGCCGGCCGCAGGCGCTTCGGGAAGCCCAAGGCCCGGGAGAGGCAGCGGGGTGAGGGGGGCGAGGAAGTGGGGGGGCCTGAGAGGGGTTGCTGTGTCTTGAGCGGACCCGATCCCTGCTGGCTCCCGGCCTCCGCCTGTGGTCCTGGCTGTTCTTTCCCTTTTGGTCCAGCTTCCCCAGGCCTCCGGGCAGCTCTGGAGCTCCTCCCCGCCATCCCCTTCACCTCCCCGCCCCCGCCTTCCTCCCAATTCTGCCTCAATTTCTCCCACCTGCTCCAATCCCTTTCGCCTCTCTGCCATTTTGCTCAGGCCGGTCCTGCATGGGGCTCCTCACCCTCACCCTCCCGTCTCCCTCCGCCCCGTTAGCCCCCCACCCCAACATCGAGGCTGTTTGGGCCCCGGGTCCCCTGTCTCTTGTCCCCACGCCTGTCCCCCCTTCCTCCCCATCACCCCCATGCCTGCCTCTCAGCTGCCCCGGGTCCCCTGCTCTGGTCCCCACGCCCGCCCTCCCTTTACCCCGCCCCACTCTCCCCATCGCCCTCCCGCCCCCATGCCTGCCTCTCAGCTCCCCGCTCGCCCTGCAGTGAAGGACGCGGACGGCGTGCTGTGCCGCTACAAGAAGATCCTGGGCACCTTCCAGAAGCTCAAGAGCATGTCGCGGGCCTTCGAGCACCACCGCGTGGACCGCAACACCGTGGCGCTGACCACGCCCATCGCCGAGCTGCTCATCGTGGCGCCCGAGAAGCTGGCCGAGGTGGGCGAGTTCGACCCGTCCAAGGAGCGGCTGCTCGAGTACTCGCGCCGCTGCTTCCTGGCCCTGGACGACGAGACGCTCAAGAAGGTGCAGGCCCTCAAGAAGAGCAAGCTGCTGCTGCCCATCACCTACCGCTTCAAGCGGTGATGCCCGGCCCCGCCCCGCCCCGCCAGGCCTGGGGGGCGGGCGGCGTGCTCCTGCGTGTGCCTCTCCTCCCCCTCCTGCGGACCCCCCACTCGCACCCCAGGTCCCTGGTACAGAGCCCCGCCGTCCTTGCTCCCCACGTTCCCAGCATCCTTCCCCTTCCCAGGGCTGGGGGTGGGGTCTCCTCCCGTGGCCAGGCTCCCAGGGGCCCGGTCCTGATCTTCCCTCCCGCCCGCACCGGGCCCTCCATCCCGGGGGGGGGGTGAGGGGGAGGGGGGAAGAGCGGGGAACACTGTACATACACTCGGTCTCCGACCCCCCATCCCCGACCGTGGACCCGCCTTCCGGACCCCCCCCCCGCTAGTCCACACGAGACAGAATTAATTATTCAGAGAATTTAAAGAGACGATAAAATTTGGAATAAACTACGCCCCGGCCTCTTCCTGGGAGGGCGTGGCGGTTGCCACGGAGACGGGGACGGGACCTTGGGGAGGGGGGGTTCCGGGAAGCGGGAGGTTGGGGAGACAGGGTGTCATTAGCCCCCCCCAACCTCGAGGCAGCGGTGGGAGGGGAGCCGCAGCTGTGCTCCGGGGAAAAGGCGGTCCGGCCCGGAGGCGCGGCGGCGAGAGGCCGGACTCAAGGGCCTCCAGGCCGGGGGCGGCCCCCGGGGGACACGGGGAACCTCGGCCGGGAGGCGGGAACGCAAGACTTAGTCTCCCGGAGTGTCCTCCGCGCAGCCTGCTGCGCCTGCGCGGCGGCAGGACTGCGCAGCGCGGAGGCGGTTGCTACGGCAACCAGCAGAGGGCGGCCGCGCTTAACTGTCAGGAATCCGGGACTCTCGCGGGGGGAGGGAAAAGTCTCGCGCACGCGCACTGAGGACTCTGGGGGCCCCGGCTCCCTCGCCTAAGACCCACCTACTACGCAGGCGCACCAGCCCACCTCGCGCCCGAACGCGTCGGCTCTGCGCAGGCGCACCAAGCCGCGCTGCCAACCTCCGCAGCAGCCGCGCGCACCCGCCACCTCGCTGGCTGCTTTTGTCTCGCGCCGCCTTCTTAAGCCTTCCGCGAGCTCGGCCTTTCTTTTCCTCCGCTCCCCTACCTGGAGCGCCTCGGGGGGGTCCGGGACGCCGCCCGTCCCCCGGATCCCTTCCCTTGACCCACCTCGTCTCCGTCCTCCCTCCCTTTTCGGTTCCCGACGCCGGAAGGAGCCGAAGCGCCGACGGAAAAAGCCGAAGCCGTCTTTCCCCCCCGAAGTGTTGGCGGAAAGAGCCGAAGTTCTGCGAGAAGGGAAGGAGAGAGCGAGTGGAATCTCCGGAAAGAGCCGAAGCTTGGAATCCAGCTTAATCCCCGGCGCGGCCCGAGGGCGAACACCGGGAACCTTCGGGAAGAGCGGAGTCCCAGGACGGTTAGGCCTGTCGGAAGTTGCGGACTGTTCGGACAGGGCCGGCGGAGTAGCGCTGGGAGGCCCCCGCGGAAGCGGCCAAAGACGGACGGTTTGAATTGTCGGAAGAATCCGAACCCTTGGCGGGGGTGGGGGAGCGCTGGACGCAGAGGAAGGCGAGGACCCACGGAAGCACCCGAACGTGGACGAGCTAATTTCCGAAAAATTACGACAACCTGAGAACCCGGCAAAGCCCTCGCTTCGGGCGCTTTCGGAACAAGCCGAAGCCGCTGCGCCCGATTCCTGCCTCTACGCTCCGGAAATAGCTGACGCTCTGCGGGACCAGGCTCTGGGGAAGGGGCCCCTCGCGGCGGGCCGGCGGGAGGGCCGGCGGGCGGGCGGGGCGAGGGGGCGGAGCCGGGGCGGGGCGGGGCAGGCGGGGCTCGATTAGGCAGGAGGCGGCGGCGCGCCGGCGGCGGCCGGAAGTAGCCGAAGCGAGCGGCGGAAGTAGCCGAAGCGGCTAGAGCGGGCGGGCGGCGAGGCGAGGTGAGAGCTGCACAGGGCCCTACGCGGCCGCCTCAGCATGTCGGACTTCGACGAGTTCGAGCGGCAGCTCAACGAGAATAAGCAAGGTGAGGGCGCCGGGGACGCGGGGGTGGGGGGAGCGGGCGGGGCGGGCCCCGGCCTTCCTCTGTGTCCCCCGCCATTTTCCCCCTCGCTTCCTCCCCTCCTCTCAGGGCCGCGCGGCCGCCCCCACCCCCACCGCCCCGCGGCGCGCGCCTCGCCCACGTGACCGCCCGGCGTGCCTCGGCGCGCGGCCGGGCGGCGGCGGCGGGCGCGGGCAGCACGCATGCGCGCCGCTCTGCGCTGCGCTGCGTCCCGGGCGGCGGAGGCGGCGCCGCAGCCCGGGGCCCGCCGCGTGTCCGCCCCGGATCCATTTTTCTTGCCCCGGGGAGGAGAGTGTTTATACCTCGGGCCCCCCGCGACCCCTCTTTGCCTCGGCCGAGGCACTTCCGCTTCCGGCCGGGCCCGCGGCTCGGGTCTCTCCACGCCCCCTTTGTTCCAAAATGGCGGTTGTGGCGGCCCCCCCCCCCCCCGCGCTGCTTCACGTGGGCGCGGGCACGGCCGCGGCGTGGAGACCGGCTCCCCGCCCCCCCCGCGGCCGCCACGTGTGCCGAGGCCGGCGGGCAGGCCGCGCGGGCGCCCACGCTGTTGGGGGGCCCCGGGGCCCGGCGTGTGACGCGGGTTTCCTCGCGAAAGGGGCGCCCTGTGGTGTTTTTTTGTGTGTTTTTTTTTTTAAAGGTGCGCCCCGCGCGTGCGTCTTGCTTACCACGCGGGCGGCAGTGTGGAGGGTTAGCCCCTAATCCCCGCCCCGCCCGCTAGACACAACCCCCAGGCCCGGCCCGGCCGGCCCAGGCGGGCCCTCTGGCTGCCGGGGGGGGGGGGGGTTGGGGCGGGAGGGCCGGGGGTTGGAGTGGGGCCGGTCGGGCTGAACAGCCTCGTGTCTCCTCGGTTTGGAGCGAAGACGCCGGGCGGGCGGGCGGGCGGGCGGGCGCTGCAGCGTCAGCCGGGGGTGCGGGGCTGGGGGGGGTGGCGCCCCTTTGGCCCAGCCGGCGGAGCAGGGCTCCCGTCCTGTTCTGTGGCTTCCTGTGGGCGGCCATGGAGGGAGGGGGCGGGGAAGGGGGGCCGTGTCCCGCCTTCTGGGCCCGCGAGGCCGGCGCCCTCGGTCCGCGGGGAGGAGGGGGAGGCCTTCCCGGGCGGGCGGGTGCCGGGGTGCGGACAGTGAATGCCCGGAGGCTCCTCTGCCGCCCGCCGCGGGGAGGCTGCGGCTCGCAGGGGCCCCGCCGGGAAGGCGCCTCCGGGAGGGGAGGGGAGGGGAGGGGTGGGTGCCGCTGCGTCAGGGGCCGAGCCGGAGAGCCCGGGGCCGGGGGGCTGGGGCCCGAGGCCCTCGCCAGGGGTACGCGCTGCCCACGTGCTGCCCGTCTGGGTCTTTGTCTGCGCCCGGCCCCTCCCGCCATGTGCACCTGTGTGTGCGGGAAGCCATGCCTCTCCGCCTCCCAGGCCCAGGCGCCCGGGTGGGCCTGGGAGCCGGCCGCCCGAGTCCCTGTGTGCTGCCTGGCCTGGCCTGACCCTCCCCTCCTGCCTCCACTTTTGGGCCATTTCTGCTTTTTTGCCGGCGAGGAGGTGACCCCATAGTCACTAGTGGCCGATCCAGGCCCCGGGCAGGGGGCCTGCTGCGTCCCGCTCCTCCGCTTCCTTGCTCTCTGGCCTTCGGGCCAGTCATGGAGCGCCTGCCTCAGTTTCCCTGTGACACAGCCCCCAGCAGGGTTTCCCCAAAGTGGTAGTAAGGATTGAGGGCGAGTGATGTCTGAGTGCTTGATGATCTGGCCGCTCAGTGTGTGTGTGCAGTGTACACACGTGTGTGTACGTTACTTACACATCACAAGTGGTGCACGGCCGGGGTCCGGCCAGCCTGTCCAGGGGGAGGGGACATGGGCGGTTGGCCAGCCTGCCTGCTGGTGGAACCTGGTGGAGGGGACAGTGTGCATGTTAGCCTTTTGTTATATAGGGTACACGCTGAGTGGCCAGATTGTGTGTTCAGAGGTCATAAATACCTGGCCACTCTGTATTTAGCCGGATGCTGGGTTTGCTTGCTGCCGTCTCCCCTTGTGTAGGGGTGGACTCCCGGGTGTCAGTGACGAGTTGAGGGACGGGCACAAAACGCTCTAATTAATTAAGCCAGAAAGTAACCCGAGGGCCACCTCCAGGCCCGCTGACGCCACCCCTGCCCCGAGCGGGAAAGCTCCAGGAGCCAGCTGCAGGGCTGACTGGGCTGTGGGGGGCCGAGGGGGAGGGGGGCTGGGGGAGGCTGGGATGGGCTGACGGGGTGGGGGAGCCAGTGTCTCAACCCAGGGCTGAGTGGAAGGCAGCGCTCGGGCGCCCTGGGGGGTTCAGCCTGCCCCCCTCGGAGGCTGAGGGGTCTGGGAGCAGAGGGCGCTGTGCTGGGAGGTGTGCTCCCCTCCCGGGCGCCGGCCCCAACGAGGGGGCGAGGGAGCTCTGCCACCTCCTGGGTGTTCAGCGAAAGCCCCCCCCCCCCGGGGGGGTCTGAGGTCGGGTGGTCGGTTCGGGGCTGCGGGGGCGGGGAGGGGCGCCTGGGGGCGGGGACGGCTCCTGAGGGGCCGCCGGTCCCTCCGGGAAACATCATTGGGTCTCTTGGTTCCCCAGCCTCTAGCCCTGCCCCTCGCAGGGACGACCCTGGGGTCAGGCGCCAGCCCCTCTGTCTTCTCTGGCTCCCCAGCTCCTCCTGAGCCGCTCAGGTACCTTGCACCCTGGGGGCACCTCCAGGCCCGTCCCCGCAGGTAACGCCTCCGTCCGGGGTCCGGGCCGCGGACTGGCCTTGGACCCAGGCAGCCTGCTACTCCCCCTCGCTCGCACCCCGGCCCGGCGGGGTGGCCTCCCTGGGCTGGGGCTTGGCCCCCAGTGTGGGCGGGCAGGGCCGTCCTCCCTCAGCTCATCCTCCCCCCCTTGCCAGAGCGAGACAAGGAGAACCGGCACCGGAAGCGCAGCCACAGCCGCTCACGCAGCCGGGACCGCAAGCGCCGCAGCCGCAGCCGCGACAGGCGCAACCGGGACCAGCGCAGCGCCTCCCGGGACCGGCGGCGGCGGAGGTACCGGCGGGGCCTCTGGCTCCTCCCCGGGGCGGGATCTGTCCTCCTTGTGAGGGGTGCCGCCCTCAGAGGCCTGGACCCTTTGGCGTGGGCCGTGGGTGTCCAGCGCGCCTGCCCCTTAGGTGAGGGGCGGCGGGAAGTCTGGCCCTTCTCGGCCTCCGGCTGGAAAGCGGTCCGCTGGCCACCTGCCTCCTCACTTCCTCTCCTGTGGGGAGGGCGACGGCGGGGCTTTGTGCCGGGGGTGTGGTGTGGGGTTGGGGGACGGCAGGGCTTTGTGCCCAGGGGTGTGTGTGGGGAAGACGAGCCCCCAGTCACCCCTCCCATCCTTTCCCTCCTGCCCCCAGCAAACCTTTGACCAGAGGCGCTAAAGAGGAGCACGGAGGACTGATGTGAGCTGCTCTTCCTGCCCCTCACCCCGCGGCCACCTTGCCCCCTGCCCTGAGCACCCCCCCCACCCCCAGCCCCACCCCTACCCCGAAACCAGCCCCTCCCCGGCCGGCCGGCGCGAGGGAGCTCCTGGGGCCAGGGGAGTGCGGGGCCGCCGCACTGAGGGGCTGCCCGCTCTGCCTCCGCCCCCAGCCGCTCCCCCCGCCATGAGAAGAAGAAGAAGGTCCGCAAGTACTGGGACGTGCCGCCGCCCGGCTTCGAGCACATCACCCCCATGCAGTACAAGGCCATGCAAGGTGCGCCCCTCCCCAGGCGGCGGGCCCTTCGGAGCCCCTGAGGCCAGGAGGGGGGAGGGGAGTAGAGCAGCCGGTCCGGGCTGGCCCTGCTCCCGCTGATCCTTCCTGTCCCTCCTGAAGCTGCGGGTCAGATTCCGGCCACCGCCCTCCTCCCCACCATGACCCCCGACGGCCTGGCTGTGACCCCGACGCCGGTGCCAGTTGTGGGGAGCCAGATGACCAGGCAGGCCCGGCGCCTCTACGTGGGCAACATCCCCTTCGGCATCACTGAGGTACTGCCTCCCCCCTTGCCGTGCCCCTCCCCTCCCCTCCCCCTGCTCCTCCCCTCCCCTCCACCCTCTCCCCTCCCTGCACGGGTCAGACTCCGCTCCTGCAAGACACCCCCGGCCCCCTCCCAGACGGACGATGGAGTTGAGCCAGCCAGGGGCCGGGCTGGGGGTGGCCCTCCCTCCCTCCTCTCTCCTCACCCGTCTCCCCTCCCACCCTCCTCCACACCCATGGATCAAGCACACACATAGCTTACCTACGAACCACGAATCCACGCATCCGAGTCCGTGCGGAGAGAGACAGAGAGGGAGACTCGACACACACACACACAGACGCACAGCCGCACGCCCTCAGTTTCCGACACGCCTCTGTTCTCTGCCGCCTGGCCCCGTCCCCTCCCTCCCTCCCTCCCTCCCTCCCTCCCTCCCTCCCTCCCTCCCGTGGTCGCTGCTCTTTTAATTTTGATGGCCCTGACCTCCCCGCCTTCCCCGCGCTCCTCTCCCCCTCTCCCCACCCCTTCCCGTGACACCCCTGAGAACCCCGAGATCAAAGAGTTGTTTCCATTTCTCTTTAAAGTGAAATATTGTGGGGCTGAGATCCCTCGTAGCAACAAAAAGTTTGCTACCGTCGGCGAAGGCAAGTAAGGTCCATTCTGACTTTCTCAACCTGCACTTTGCTACATTTGATGAGCCAGCCCCCGACTCCAGGGCCAGATCCCTCCACATCACTCTTCTCTCCTCCCTCTCCCTCCCCGCCCCTCCCGCGCTCCCCTCCCCGTCCTCCCCGTCTCTGCTCCTCCCTTCCACACTCTCCACCTGGGTCCCGCCCGGGTCCCGCTCCTGCCTGCCGCTGCTGTCCCCTCTCCTGTCTTCTTCCTCACCACCGGCCGCGTCTTTCTCTTCGTGTCCTGTCTCCTGTTTCCTCTGCTCCCTGTGCTCTTCGTTTCCTGCATCTGACCTGAACCCCCACTCTCCTTCCCCTTTTGGGCCCTGGGGCTCGCCCCACACCTGGCCCTGCGCCTCTGCTGCCCCTCCCACTCTCATCCCCCTCCCTCTCCCTACTGTTGACCTCTGTCCCCACCCGATGCCACTGTCCCCCTCCCTGTCCTTCCCCCCGCCCCCCAAACCCTCTGTGTCTCCCTCTCTCACCCTCCCCCTCCTCTCTCCACCCCTCCCCGCCCCTCCCTGTCTCCTCTTCCCTCTGCAGGAGGCCATGATGGACTTCTTCAACGCCCAGATGCGCCTCGGGGGGCTGACGCAGGCCCCGGGCAACCCCGTGCTGGCCGTGCAGATCAACCAGGACAAGAACTTTGCCTTCTTGGAGGTGAGGGGCGGGCGGGTGCCGCTTTGGCCGCAGCTCCTGTTGGTTGGTGTGCGGCTCTCCTGCCAGTGTTCCTGGCGCTCAGCCGCCCTCCACCCGGTCTGTTCCCTGCAGTTCCGCTCGGTGGACGAGACCACCCAGGCCATGGCCTTCGACGGCATCATCTTCCAGGGCCAGTCGCTGAAGATCCGCAGGCCTCACGACTACCAGCCCCTGCCCGGCATGTCGGAGAACCCCTCCGTCTACGTGCCTGGTGAGTGGGCCCCCGGCCCGGCTGCCCAGCCAGCCGGCTGCTCGGGAAGCAGAGGGGGTGCCCTGGGCGGGTCTCCTCCGGCCCCAGACCTGGGAGCCGGGCAGAGGCGACAGGTGTCTGCTTGGTGCACAGCCCAGCTGGCCAGTCCCAGGGCCAGGACCCAGCCAGGTGTGGGAGGTGAGGGCCCAGGTAGTGTGTGCATGCGAGTGCGTGCATGTGTGTATGCATGCCTGTGAGTGTGCACAAGTGTGAGCATGCCTGTGTGCGAGTAAGTGCTGCATGTGAGTGTGTGTATGTGCATGTGAGTGAGTGTATGTGTGAGTGTTTGCATGTAAGTGCGTGTGAGCGAGTGTGAGCATGTGCATGCGTGCATGCGAGTGTGAGTGCATGCAAGTACGTGCACGTTTGCAAGTGAGCTTGTGAGTTCGTGCATGTATATGTGTGAGTGCACGCACATGAGTGCATGTATGAGTGGGAGCGTGTGTGTGAGTGCGTGCACACGAGTGTGTGTGAGTAGGTGTGAGTGTGCATGTGTGAGAGTGAGTGTGAGTGCGTGCGCGCGCAGTCAGTTATGGGCTGGGACTTCTGCCCACACCCACAGAAGACAGTTCCAGGACCTCGGGGTTTTGTTGTTTTTTAACGGGAACCAAAGTGGTGTGTGTGGGAGGCACGGTGAGGAGGAGCGGGCTATCGGGGGTTCGAGGCCCTGACCCGGCTGATGTGGGTGAACCACAGAGGTCTGCTGGGCAGACGGCGGCCTCAGTTCTCTCTTCTCGAGGGAAAGCTCTCCATGGAGCCCGAGCAGGGAGTCACCACAGCAGGCCCGGGCTCAGGAGCGTCAGCAAGGAGCGTGTGGGGCGTGGAGGAAGCCCCAGGGAGCGGGGCTGGGCTCCTCAGGAAGCGGGGCTCTGGACAGGTTAGGGGTCATCCCCTGCCGCCCTGGTTGCAAGTCTCCTGGGCCCTGGAGGTGGGGCTGTGGCTGGAGGGGCTGGAGAGGGGTGCCCGGCCGGCACTTCGGGGCGTTAACGGCGGCGCTGGAGGCCTTTGGGCGGCTGGTAGGATATTGTCCAGCTCGTGCTCGGACCAAAGCCAGGCTCATCCTGTGGCCCTCGAGCGGACTGGCCTCTGCCATTCACCCTCTGACTGGGGAGACGTGCAGTCACTTCCTCTCGTGGCCTTGGTGTAGGGAAGACAGGGTCTGCCCGGTGGACACAAACTGCTGTTTGCCTGCCTGCCTCAGTTTCCCGATTCTGCCGGACCTGGTGTTTCGGGAGCTGTCACCGCTCCCCTCAGAGCCTTCCACCCCTCCAGCCTGCCAGGCCAGCTTCTGGGGGACAGGGCTTTGTTGTGGGGCAGGAGGCAGGGCAGGAAGTGAGCTGGGGGGGTGGGGGGCTGTAGGTGAGGGAGGGAGGCTGGTGGGGGGAAGTGCTTGGCCCCCCACAGCAGCGCCTTCCTGGGGAGGGTTCGGGGTGGAGTGGGTCGGTCCCCGCTCTGGCTCCGGGCAGCGCTGGAGGTCATTCTCTGCGTGCTGGGCCGTGTGACTTTTAAGGACTTCTCGGCATCTCCTTGGAAACAGGATTCGGCCAGTTCGAGCTGGTTCGTTGGTGACAGGTGAACTTCAGGGGTTCCCCAGTTCCGTCTCTTCGTGGACTCTGGGGCGGGAACCCACGTCCCCACTGGGGCCAGCCCTTCCGTGTGGGCAGGGCTTGAGAGATTCTTAGGCCGCACAGGCATCCGCTCTCTGGAAGGTTCCACTGCGCTGGTCAGAGAGCAGTGACCTGCCCTGACCTTCCCAGGCTGGGCCGTGGGTCTGAGCGTGTTCACACGCCATGAGGCTGGCTCGGGGCCCTTGGAGTCGGGCAGGACTTGCTGACGGGCTCGCTGTGCGGTCCAGGCCATGAGGTGGGCTGGGGGGGGGGGGACGGGGGGTGGGGGGCTGAGGCTGGGCTCCGAGGCGCCCTTTAGAAACGAGCGCTGGCGATGTGGCCTCCGAGCGGGCGGCTCCTCAGGCTGGGCTTTACCTTTGGGTAAATCGGTTGCGCCTTTTTGGGAAATGAGGTGTAAGGCTCACTGACCTCTTAAGTGTCAGCGTCTGGGAGCCTCTCTGCCCCAGAAACCCATGGGTCTCGCTCAGTTATCACTGGGAACCCCCCAACACCCCAGCTCCTGTGTCAGCGCTGCTGGTGTGGTGCTTGGTCACACAGCCCTATAGCACAAGGGCCGGCAGTGACACCGGGGCCAGTGTGGGTCTTGGTGGTTGAGCGGCGACCTGTGAACCAGGAAGTTGGCATATGGGGTCACAGGCTGGATCCCCAGTGTGGATCATGCAGAAGGCAGCCAATCAGTGATTCTCATCGTCATCGGAGTTTCGCTCTCTCACCCTCTAAAATAGAAAAAACCCGTACGTTTTAAAGGAATGAATACTTGTTGGCACCCAGCTGTGCTCCCGCGTTGCCCATGGTTAGGCTGTACTTGTTCAGTGCCAACCTGGGTGATGCCAGACCCCGGCCCACGGACTGGAAGCCCCCGCCACTGGGGGCAGTGGGCGCTGGACTGGTGGGGCGTGGGCCCTGCTGATGGCTCCAGGCCAGGCTGGGCACCCGCTCGGGTCCCTGTGCGGATGGAGACTGCAGACTCGGGACTCAGTCCTTGTCTGGAGGCAGAGCCTGGAGCAGCACAGAGCACAGCCACCTCTGCCCCATCCATTGGGGGAGGACCTGGCGGGAGCGAGATCTGCCTGCAGGCCTAGCGTCCTCAGTCTTCCTCTTTTTGTAATAGAGCTAACCATTGAGTTTTCTGTTCTCTATTAAAAAGAAATCAGTTTTATGACGGAAGGGAAACAGCATTTTCAAAACCTAGCAGTCTTTTTTTTTTTTTTTTTAAGTATATATTTATTAACTTCAGAGAGGGAGAGATGAGAATCATTGATCAGCTGCCTCCTGCATACCCATTGGGGATCAAGCCTGCAAACCTGGCACGCGCCCTTGATAGGAATCAAACCTGAGACCCTTCAGTTCGCAGGCTGACACTGTCCAAACCAGCTGGGCCAGCAGTCATTCTTGACTGGGACAATTCAGGCCCTGGAGGCGCTTCCTCGTCTCTGCCGACGGGCATAGACCTGAGGCTAGGCGTGCGGGTGTGTGTGTGTGTGTGTGTGTATGTGTGTATGTGCAGGGACCAGTAAATGCACCCCCTGAAGCCGGCGCTGGGGTCCTGAGCCGAGTCTGTGAGGCAGCAAGACATGGAGTGGGGCAGGGAGAGCTCTGACCTTGGGGGGAATGCACTTGGCTGTGAACTCCGCCCACTGCTGGGCTCACCTTGCAGGTCAGGGCTGAGTCCCTGCCTCCTGAGGCTCCTGCCTGTGGCTCCGCCCTCACCCTTCCAGGGCAGGGTTTTCTGTGCCAGGCCCAGTGGTCACAGGCAGCCTGGTCTGGCCGAGGCCAAAGGTGGAGGACAATGGCTCAGAAACCACCACTTGGCTATGGGGGAGGGCGGGGGCAGCATGAAGCAGGTGCAGGGACAGCGTAGGCACCATAGTCCTGGTCTATGTCAGGTGGTGGAGATGCCAGGGACTTGGTTTTGGGTGCTGAGACCAGCCCAAGTCCCCAGGCAGCTTCGCCCTTTCCTGGCCACGGGACTGTGAGAGGTCTGGCTCCCGGTGTCAGAGCCCAGTGGCCACGGAGGGCCTCCGGGGCCAGCCCCCCTCAGGTCCTGGGGCAGCTCGGGGGCGTGCTGGGGACATCCACAGCGCCCTTCCTTCCCTGAGGCATATGGCCCCGCAGGCACTAGCCTGGGCCCCACGCCAGTGACGTGGCCTCTGTCCGCGTTCCCCGTGCCAGGAAAGCCTTTAGTTCACTGCGGAGCTGGGTGAGTGAGTCCTGGAAGCCCATTCCTGCCCGGTGAACTCAGCCAGCACTCCCTCTCGAGGCCTCAGTTTACCGCGGTCTCGCTGTGGGTAGGCTGTGGAGAGCATTGAGGTGTAGACTGAATGGGACCCAGGTGCCCGCCCTGTGGGGACTGCTCCCAGGATGCTCTGCTCCTCCCCTGGGACAGCGGATTCGAGGCCTCGGCTGTGGTGCTGGGGGGGCTGGGCTGGTGCCAGCACCTCTGCAGGAGGCTGTGGGGGGAGGAGCGCAGCCTGCCAGGGGTGCGGTGGCTCTGTCTCGGTGAGTTCCCCAGCCCAGCTCACCTGCCCAGGTAAAGGAGGGGGCAGCTTCTCGGTGGGGACTGCAGAGGGAGGCGGGCAGGGGCTGCTGGCACGTGTCGCTGAGCCCAGAGTTCAGTGCAGTCGTTACTGAACCCACTCAGCTGCGTTAGCCCACTGGGCGCCGGGGGCCGGTGTTGGGCGAGCCGGTACCTCAGACAGACAGCAGGCGCCTCCAGTGGCACAGGAGCCCGCGGCGGGCGGGAGATGGCAGGAAGGAAGGGGAAAGATGGGGTGTGCGTGTGAGACTGTCAGCAGTGAGGTTCCATGGCTGCAGGCAGCACGGGGTGAGCTCGGGTCTTCACGGCCCTGGGCGGACTGGCGCTGCATCTCTGGCCAGGCACCCAGGCACCTGGGGGGTGGGGCAGGCTGGGGGACAAGGCGTTTTCTATTGTCAGCTGTCACCGGGCCGGGAGGAAGGCGGGCCTCTCCCTGCACCTCCCCCAGGGTTCGGTGGCAACCTCTTGGTGGGCATCCAAGTCTGTCCCTTCCTTCTCCCGCCAGGAGTTGTGTCCACTGTGGTCCCGGACTCTGCCCACAAGCTGTTCATCGGGGGCTTACCCAACTACCTGAACGATGACCAGGTAGGCCCCCGCTGTCCTCCCCGCCCCCACCTTCACCCGAACACACCCTGCCGTGCGGCCCCCCACCCTGCCTTCACCCAACACTCCTTGACGTGGCCCCCCCTGCAGGTGAAGGAGCTGCTGACATCGTTCGGGCCTCTCAAGGCCTTCAACCTGGTCAAGGACAGCGCCACCGGGCTCTCCAAGGGCTACGCCTTCTGTGAGTACGTGGACATCAACGTCACGGATCAGGTGAGCCCCGGGCCCGGTCGGCTGAATCCGCCCTGCCCCCACCCTGCTGTTACCGCTCAGGTGTCCCTCGGGATGGGCGGGAGGAGGCGCCAGCCGCAGGGCCCTGCCAGGCTTTCCAAGCTCAGCCCTCTGCCTTCCCCTCTCCCCCGCCGATGCCCACATCTGTGGTAACGGGGCCTGGTGGGCTCCCGGGCCCTGACCCGCACCTCTTCCCTGCGCCCCCACCCGTCGTCCTCCAAACATAGGCCATTGCGGGGCTGAACGGGATGCAGCTGGGGGACAAGAAGCTGCTGGTCCAGAGGGCGAGTGTGGGAGCCAAGAATGCCACGCTGGTGAGCCTCCCGGCACGTCATCTTCCATTGGCTTGGGGGTCGGGGGGCGGGCACGGGCAGGGCTCGGTGTGCCGGGACGGGTGGCCCCCGGGGGCGGCCTGTGACACCCCTGCCTGCCCCCCACAGAGCACCATCAACCAGACCCCCGTGACCCTGCAAGTGCCAGGCCTGATGAGCTCGCAGGTGCAGATGGGCGGCCACCCCACCGAGGTGCTGTGCCTCATGAACATGGTGCTCCCTGAGGAGCTGCTGGACGACGAGGAGTACGAGGAGATCGTGGAGGACGTGCGGGACGAGTGCAGCAAGTACGGGCTGGTCAAGTCCATCGAGATCCCACGGCCCGTGGACGGCGTCGAGGTGCCCGGCTGCGGGAAGGTGCGTGCTCGCCCGCATGGCTGCTCTGTGACCTGGTCCTCGCAGCGGGGAAAAGAGCTAAACGTAGTCACCACTCCTACACACTCACCTCCGGGGGCTGGTGCCCTGAGCGACCCCGCTGAACCCCCCGGTTACCCCAGAGCGCTCCCAGCAGCTCCCGGGCCTTCCCACACGATCAGGTGTCAGAGGTGTCACATTCTCTGGTCTGGTTTCTGAGCCCCCGGGGCCTGTCACCTCCAGCCCTGTGCCCGGGGGGGCAGGGTGTGCGCCCAGGATCCGGGGGTGTCGCTTGAGCAGGCAGGCCTGTCACTGGGGAGGGGCGCAGGCTCTGGCACCGCTCTCAGGACCTCAGGCCAGAGGTGGCTGTGGGCACCTAGGAGGCCCTGCTCTTGCAGCAGGCGGTGGGGTCCTGGGCGGGCACAGAGCCTGGAACAGGAGCATGCTGGTGCTGTCAGCGGCACTGGGGTGGAGCCCGGAGCCTGGCCCACGAGGGGACTGAACATCAGAGGAACCAATGATCCTGCCTCGTCTCTGGGATCAGCCTGTATTTTTTAAAATATAGTTTATTGATTTTTTACAGAGAGGAAGGGAGAGAGAGAGAAACATCGATGAGAGAGAAATATCGATCAGCTGCCTCCTGCACATCCCCCACTGGGGATGTGCCTGCAACGAAGGTGCATGCCCTTGACCCGAGTCGAACCTGGGACCCTTCAGTCCGCAGGCCGACGCTCTATCTACTGAGCCAAATCGGTAGCCTGTTTTATTTTTAAACATTTTTATTCTCCCCGGACATGTGCAGAGAGGAACTGTGAGTGCTGGAGGGATGTAGTGTGTGAGCGGGGTTGTGCTGTGGCCTATACCGCGGGTTCAGAGTGGCGCTTCCAGTTGCCTACAGCTTCTTTGTAAGGTCTATAGTCAGCTTCCCGCCACCGCCTTTCTGCTGAAATGACTTTTCTGCGTTTCACCCGAGGCCCCGGGGCAGCGAGCTTTGGGGTCTGTGCTGTGTGTGGTTAGATGGTTAGCTCCATCCGGGCCTCCACCCACCAGATCCTGGGAGCACCACACGCCCCTGTGACAACCACACACACGCCAGGCGCGCACGCGGGGCTGGGACAGGCGCCCTGGTTGAGAACTGCTGAGCGAGCTGCAATGCCGTTATTAACAAAGTCATCCTAGTGCCTCCCAGCCGTACTGGGCTCTCCTTAGGGTCAGAAATGCCTCCTATAGTTCGTTCCTTTCAGGGCACACACCAGTTCTGCATCCCTGCCGCCTTTTCTGCAAGCCGTTTTAATTGCTGAAGCGATGGGGGCGTTCCAGAACCCCACGCAGCCCCCTCCACTTCTGTACACTGCTGGGTCAAGCCAGCAGGCACTGAATAGGTCACAGTTCGCCTGTCTTCTGTGTCTGCCTGGGTGTGCAGCCTCATTTCTGAGCCCCCCTTGCTTCATCCATTGTCTACGGAGAGCATGGCCCTTGGGGTGCCTGCGGGGGGGGGGGGGGGTCAAACACGTGACCTCTTCCCCGGAGCCTGCCTTGCGCTTTCTCCCTGGCACCCCTCTGCTCCGAGCTCTCCCATCCTGGGGATCCGGAGGGCATGTGGGTGATGACCCACACTTGCGGGAGCCCCGGGCTAGGGCGGGGGCTGGCTGGTGGCTGAGGAGCCAGCCAGCGCCCAGGGACCCGGCTCTCACCCGCCTCTCCCCCTGCAGATCTTCGTGGAGTTCACCTCTGTGTTTGACTGCCAGAAAGCCATGCAGGGCCTGACCGGCCGCAAGTTCGCCAACAGAGTGGTTGTCACAAAGTACTGTGACCCCGACTCTTACCACCGCCGGGACTTCTGGTAGAGGCGGCGGGGTGGGCGGGGCCGGGCTGGCTGGGGCTGCCCCACGCCCCCTCCCTCTTCCCCCTCCGAAGACGATGGGCAGAGGAGTGACAGCCGAATGACAGCCGGCAGCAACTGGAATGGCAGCAACTAAGGGTGGGGGGCGGGCGGGGCGGGGACGGGGAAGTGTGCACACGGCCCCCACACGCACCCACAGACACAGGGAAGGGGTCTGGATGGGAGGGGTGCACGGCCCGGTGGGGTAGGACCCCACAGCCCCTCCCCAAGTCAGCCTCTCCTCCCTTTCACCCCTCCCCCCCTTTTCCACGGTAGGAACAGCGTGTTTATATTTTATGGCCAAACGATTTTGGATTTTGTTGTCCGGCCCTTTGCCCTGCCCCCCCCACCCCCCAAGCTCCGCAGCTCCAGCCCTCGGGCCTCTAGTCCTCCCCTCGGTTTCTTAACGTAGTTGTTCTCTCCTCTCGCCCGCGGCCCGCCCCTCCTCCTCTCTGTGGCGGTTTCATATTTGCTAAGACGAATTTGCTCATTAAACATTTTGTTGTATTTTACTCTCCGGGCTGCTCTGTCTGGTGTGTGACCCCGGGTGTCCCCATGGTGCCAGGCGCCCTTGGCTCCTGCGGGCGCTCCCGCCCTCCGCCCGGGGTGTGCCCAGAGGCGGGGCCACCGCCCGGCCCGGGCAGGCGCGGGGCCAGGCCGGGTGCCAGGCGGGGCGGAGGGCGGCGGTGACAGGGTGGGACCCGCGGCCTCCCGGGGCCCTGGCGGCGGCGGGCGGAAGTGGGGCTGGCGGAGCCTGTCAACCGGCCTCGCGCGCCGGAAGTGACGTTTTGCCGGTGGGCAGGGCGGAGGAAGCCGGTGCTGCGCAGACTCGGTAGTGGGCGCCGGGCGGGGCGCGCGGCCGCTTCCGCTTCCGGTCCGTCGCCTCTTTCGGTTGCTTCCCGTCCGCTTGGAGGCTCCCCTTCCCCGCCCGGCTCTCCGCGCCCCTCCCGGGCGCCGGGCGGCGGGGCCGTCGTCGTCGTGCCGTCCTCCGTGCGTCCGCGCGTCCGCCCGAGCGCGTTCCCGCCTCCGCTGCCCGCGGCCCGGCGCGCGCCCCGCGACACCGAGGCCGAGCGGGGCGGGGGGCTGCCCGCCATGACCCCCCGGAGCCCGGCGTGAGGGGCCGAGGTGAGCGGGGCCGGGGCGCGGGCGGGGGCCGGGGCCGGGCGCCCCCGCGGCCGTGGCGTGTGGCGCCGGGTGGGCCCCGGCGTCTGTCTGTCACCGCCCGGCCTTGCCCGCGCCGTGTCCGTGGCGCCGTTTGCCAAAGCACTGCCCGGTCTGCGCGTCTGCTCGCCCCGGCGTCCGTGTCCGCGGTCACCAGGTGTCTGCCTGCCGCCCCTGCCCTCCGCGGCCCGCCGGCCCCCAGGCCCCGGGGCCGGGGCTGGCGATCCGGGCCCCGGAGCCGGGCCGCTGCTCGCGGTGCCGGCCGCCGCCTCGCCGCGCCCGGGCCTGGAGCGCCGCGCGCCGGGCGGAGGGGGTGCCGGTGCCGAGCCCGGCGCTGTCCGGCCGCAGAAAGCGTGTCGTTGACCGCGGGGAGCCCGCTGCAGGGTCCCTGACCTGCCATGGAGATGACGGTCATTTTGAGGCCCCCCACCCCCTGGAGAATTTGGTCCTGCCCCCCCCCCCCTTCTCCGATGGGATGGGGGGATGCTCTCCCACTCCTTGGCTCCTGCTTAGTCTCCTGCTAAGCAGCGTGGGTGGGACCTTGGCGAGCGGGTTGCGTGTTCCCTGTAAGCACAGGGGGTCGGGGTCGGTGTTGGGGTCGGGGGTGGGGTCTTCCGATGCCCCCCTTGGGGAAGTGCAGGGTTTCCCCTGCGGACAGCCTGCGCACCTGCTCTCCGCGGCCGGCCAAGCGCTGGATGTGCCTGCCGTGGGCGCCTCTCCCGCCCCCCAGCGGAGGTGCGGGAGCAGATGGCCAGGCTCCGGGCCCAGATTCCCTCCGCTCCCTGTTCGTGCCGTTTTCCTCCTCTCCCGTTGGCCAGTCCCCGGCCACTGCTGCGTTCTGCCGTTTTGCTTTTCCCTTCCTGCCTCGCTCGCCTCCTCTCCGGGGCTCTGTGCCCGCGGCCGGCCGGCCGGTGGGGTCCCTGCCGGCGGCACCGCGTCTGGGTGGCCGCCCCCTCTGCCCGCCTCCGGTGCCCCTCTCCCCGTCTCACTCCCTCTCCTCCCAGTCTTCCCACATCAGCTCTGGTCCAGGTGTGCCTGGCCATCTGTGTTCAGCTCTTCACATCCCTCCCCAGGGCCTGGGCCGTGGCTCGTGGGCGGGCTCAGCGGGTGTCTCTGTGTGTGTGGGGGGGGGGGGCGGGGGTGTCTGTCGGGTGTCTGTGTGTCTGTGTGTCTGTCGTGGCGTCAGGATGTCAAAGCGATGGATGGTGGTGGTCAGAGCCTGCTCTGGAGCCAGGCTGCTCCCGCTGAGGCCTGAGTCCTGGGAGGGAGTCAGCGCCCCGGGCCTCGGTTTCCCCTCTCCTGTCCCCCTGTGGGTCACGGGCTTGGGAGGACTCATTGAGCTACTGTGTGTCCAGCACGTGGAGGAGCGCGGGGCGCGGGGTCAGGGCCGGGGAGGGGCTGCTGGGGTTGTCCCTTTGCCCGATTCTCCCCCTTCGGTTCCTTCCCGCCACCCTGGTCTCTCTCCATTTGAAGCTATCGCGTGGGGGGCCCAGGCCTGCCCAGCCCGTGGCCTTGGCTGGAATACTCGGCCTCCTCCCTCCCGAGGGAGGCGCCAGGGAGGACACAGCTGCCATGAGGTGTTCGGTGAGATAATGGACTCTGGCTCCCCGAGGGGACAGGACGGCCCAGGCTGTGCTGCCCTTATCGCTCCCCAGCCTCGCCTCAATCCGCCTCCACCTCCACCTCCGCCTCCACCTCCGCCAGCCGCCTCCGCCTGCGTCCCTGCCTGCCTGTGTACGTCCCTGTGTGCGTCCCTGCCTGGGTGTCCCTGCGAGTGTGTCCCTGCCTATGTGTGTTCCTGCCTGTGTGTGTGCCCCTGCCTGTGTGTGTGCCTGTGTGTCCCTGTGTGTGTGTCCCCCTGCGTGTGTGCGTCCCTGCCTGTGTGTGTACCTGTGTGTCCCTGCCTGTGTGTCCCTGCCCGTGTGTGTCCCTGTGTGTGCGCGTGTCCCTGCGTCTGCCCGGGGTTCTGCCCCTCCACCCCGCCCCAGAGGTGTTTCCGCCCCCCCTGCCCTTCCTTCCAGTTTATTGAAAGGCTCTTCCGGGCCAGCTGCTCCCCTGGGAAAAGCAGTGTCCAGACAGACCAGGTCTGCCCCGGGCTGGTGGGCCTCAGCCCAGAGTCAGGCAGATGCGGGCAGTCCCAGGCTCGGGCGTGACTGCGGAGGGCAGGGCGAGGCCCTCCTGGCGGAGAGAGGAGGGATGCCGGGAGGAGGGCGGAGGGAGGACAGAGGAGGAGGGAGGCCTGTGTCTGGCTGCTGAAGAGCTGGGAAGTGGCGCCCTGGGGCAGAGGGGGAGCGACCGGTGACCGGGGAGAGGGAAGGCAGGGGACCAGCTCAGGACACTGCCCGCACGCAGCTGGCTCCCGCGCCCTGGCCCTCCGCTCCAGCTTTCTCCGGCCCCAGCGGAGCCCATTTCACAGAGGAGACAGCTGAGGCGCGGGGTTCCCGGCCCACCCAGGTGGCGGGCAGGAAGTGCCGGGCCGGTGTGTCCCCTGGGCCCGCTGGCTGCCACCGCTCGCTCGCCTCAGTGAGCAGGGGCCCCGGCAGGAAGGGGCTGGGCCAGTTTGAGGAACCGAAATGGCCGGGGCGGCGGAGATGGAGGGGGCCGGGGCCGAGCCTCCGCGGTCACCGGGGACCCGTCCTTCCCGCGGCTGTCGGGCCCGCGAGGGAGGGCTCGGGCGGGGCGGCCGGCCCCGCGGTGTCTCCAGCCCCCTCCTCTCCTCAGATGCGGTGACCCGCCCGCCCCACGGTGGCCTCGCTGCTCCAGCCGCCCCGTCCGCCCACGCCCCGGGGGGGCCCGCCCCGGGCGCCGCCGGCCGCCATGTCGACCTCCTCGCTGCGGCGCCAGATGAAGAACATCGTCCACAACTACTCGGAGGCCGAGATCAAGGTCCGAGAGGCCACGAGCAACGACCCCTGGGGCCCGTCCAGCTCGCTCATGTCTGAGATCGCCGACCTCACCTACAACGTCGTCGCCTTCTCCGAGATCATGAGCATGATCTGGAAGCGGCTCAACGACCACGGCAAGAACTGGCGGCACGTCTACAAGGTCGGTGCCCGCGCGGCGGGCGGGGGGCGCGCGTGGGCCCGCGGGCGGGGGGCGCGGGGCTCCGACGGGCTGCGCCTCCTGGACGGCGCTCGCTCGCGTGCGTGGTGGCGTCCTAGACTTTGGTTTTTACTTGTTCTTGAGGAGCGGCCTCTCCCTTCCAGGAGGCACCGGGAGGCCTGGGCAGGTGCGCCATGTCCGTCCCCATCCCCCCTCCCTCCCCCGTCCTGCGAGGCCCCGTCTGTGTGCGTCCGAGCACCGGGCGGGCAGCCCCGGGATCTGTGGGCCACGGACGGACCTCGGGCGCTTACGTGGCCACGTGCCCTGAGGGAACGGAGCTGTGCGTCCAGAGGGAGAGAGGAGAGGCCGAGGCCTGGGGCTGGGCCCTGCGGGGACGTCAGGACCCGTCGCTTCTGTAAACAAGCTGGCAGCCGGCGTGTGGGCTAGGAGACCAGCTGCTCAGACGCCGCGGCCTGTGGGTGCTGGCCGGCCACGCCGCGGGGTTGGGCTTTCTGGGCCGCAGGACGTGAGAGCGTGCCATTGGAGAAAGGTGGCCGCGGTGCCCTGCGCGCCCAGCGCGGGGGCTGGGCTCCGTTTGCTGCTCCGCGGGAGGGTCCGGCCCAGGCGTGTGGAGGTTCTCCAGGAGCCTGGCTGCGGGCCTGCTCCGTGGCGACGCGCCGGCGGCCCCTGGAGGCCGGGCTGAGGTGGCCGGAGGCCGGGGTCACGGCGCAGCGCAGGGCGGGGGGCGTGCGGCCAGATGGG